GGGGTGTGTGTGTGTGTGTGTGTGTGTGTGTGTGTGTGTGTGTGCTGCCCCCGCAGAGTATGTGTGAGTGGGATGAGATTGAGGCAGGAAGAATAGAGTGAGGGATAAAGGGGGAGAGGCGAGAGGAGGGTAGGTGAAAGGGGGGGAAACATGTTGGGGAAGATCGTAAACTAACACTGTAGCCTTTTACAGCTGCCTGCAAATCCTGGAGTGGACTTTTACTGGAACAGGACAGACGGATTGATGGACGGATGGATGGATAGATAGATAGATAGATAGATAGATAGGTAGGTAGGTAGGTAGGTAGGTGGATAGATAGATAGATAGATAGGTAGGTAGGTAGGTAGGTAGGTAGATAGATAGATAGATAGATAGATAGATAGATAGATAGATAGATAGATAGATAGATAGATAGATAGATATAGATCAGCTGCTGAATATTTTAGTGCAATTCAATAAGTCAAATGGATAAAGCTACAAGGCGGGACAAACACACACATTTAGCAAGTGGACACCGTCTCTAAAGGCGTGCACATGGACCAGAAAAGCTGGTGACCTTTATTAGCTGGGTGCTGGTGATCGTTTCTTTAGCACAGACACACAGTATAGTTTGTATAGTATAGTGTGCATATGCAACTTTGCTTTTTGTCTTTTTACAGTTTTTACCTTGTCTTTTTCACCTTATCCTTGATAAAAGACATACACAGCTTGACCAGTTACAGATTCCTCTCACAGATCGAGAAAGGGATTATGACTTTACTGTGCCTTTCTTTCTGTAGATATCTTTCCCACTTTACTCTCAATAAGAAACAGAAGAGAAAGGAATGAAAACACTAACACATAGCAGTTTTTTCATGGCTTGTAATCCCTCCCCATAAAAAAGGGGAACAACTCAGCAAGGAACAAAAAAAGTGTGCTCCCACCATCCTGCTATGTTGATTTGTCTCGTTCTATTTCTAAGGTCAGAAACGATGGAACAACATGTTCAAAAACATTACTTAATGAATCAGTAGAGGAACAAAAAATAATAAAAGTCAGAGATTACGGCAGAAATAACCCACTGTATACTACAAACGAATTACATTTTTACAATGTAGTACTACGTCACATTGAGAAAATGAAAGAAATCAGCATAATCAAATAAGAAATTTATTTGATTTTTGACAACTTTAAAAAACTAAATGTCACCGTTTGATAAATGTATATAACATATAGTTTGGATTTGGGACTCAGCTTGAGTGTTTAGGCCCTCCTCTGTTCCCCTTGACTTTCACTGCCTCACCTTGGGGGTTGAAAATACTAATTTATGCAATTTATGCATCTGAAAATTGTATAATTTTGTAATTTGAATTCCATAATCTCAAGGAAAGTTTTGTCTTTAACCACAAGCAGAATTTAGGTAGAGATTCACAGTTGGACTCATTCATGCTCACACACGCACACACACACACACACACACACACACACACACACACTAAGGACACTGTAGGGAGACACAAACATGCTGATGTGCTCAGTACCAGTTTAGCTGGGAGATGGGCAGATGGAAGAGTGCTCTTTTTACAGCCTTTTCTCCTCCCTGTGTGTGTGTATGCATGTTTGTGTATGCGTGTATGTGTGTGTGTGTGTGTACGCCCAATGCCTAGCATAACACTGGCAGAACGTTGGTGCCAAAGTGGGCATCTGGTCTGTGGACTATCACAGGTTAGAGAGAGAGGGGAGAGAACAGTAACACCAACATAAACCCTCCTCTCTCTCTCTGTCTCTCTCTAAAGTTGTGGATGCAGTTAATCCTGCTTCAGATCATGTTCTGGTTTCCTGGATGTTGCTGCTTAGCAATAATTAACTACAGACACATGTACACAAACAAACCGTTGTGCATTTAATATAAAAAAATAGAGAAACACACACAAACCCACACAGGGGCCAGATTAAAGGTCAAACCCTCTCCGTCTCTCAGTGGCTTCACTTTCTGTCAGAATGAAGCTGTGGTGTGTATTTCTGTGGATTGCTTCCAGGTTGTGTAGGGGTCAAACTGTCTCTGGGGCCCAGAGTATCGCAGGTGCTAGAACTTAACACTGGCCACTAACCAGTACACATACCCAACACACACACACAAACATACACTACACTAATAAATACACACCTATCTCTTTCACTCAAAACGTCTAAACGGTGAAACATCATCCTCCACCAGCCTGTGAACTTTGAACCTTTGTTCTCTACTTGCCTTTGAATGTTATCGAGTGTCTTGGGTGGAACCGCTGCTTTAGTGTCACCAGCCAAGTTGAGTGGGCAGTGTCGTTCTTTATACTGTGAGAGTGATAAAGCTGATCTGTGGTCAGCAGCGGGCCTCGGGGAGAGCCGATCAGGCTGCAGTTTGAAGGTAAAGTTTGGATTATCAGCAAACTGTTGTGTGTTAACGGCTACCCCTTCCCCGGGAAATTATTCCCATAAATGTCATTGTCTTTCTGGCTTTATTGGGCGCGTGAATCCTCTGCAAACATACATGCGTGCGAACACACTCACAAAACAAAACATAAAACAAGTGGAGACACTGATCTCATGGTCATGCAAATAGAATAGAGCAGAGATGCACTAAAGTACCATCAAATGGGAGCACGAGCGGATCACGCAAATAAGTAATACAAACATAACACACACAAAAACACAGAAAAAGCAGATGCAAACAAATTATCTGTCAGACAACAAAACCACATGCTGCTATAATTCATACTATCTGCAATGTATTGGTTATTTTCAGCTGACACCTGATCTGACTTGCCTGCTAGAGTGTCCTTCTCTTGTTTGTATTATTATGCTATAGTATTTCCAGTCCTTTACACTATTATTAGCTTCAACATCTTTAAGCAGCATTTGTCTTCTCTAGCAACACCATTCATCACTTCATCATTCAGTAACTGGTAACAAAGCAGAAAAAGACTAAACGATTGAAATCCTCTTTTCCCCCAAATAATCGTAACATCGTGTTGTCATGAGCTCAGCTGACATTGACGTTCCATACTTAAGTTGTGCCATGACAATTGAACAAACTCCTTCCCTCAAAAAGGCCACAACATCCGGTTGAAAGTTCTGGAAAAGTTCTGCAAAGTGGGTCTTGATGTATGTTTTGATAAAAAAATTCCAAAAGTTTCACACTTTTTTTGTTAGGTAGCTGTTAACTGTTTCTGCAAAAAATAATGAAGATAACCATAATAGAGTCTTAACTTGACCATGAAGGCCTCAGGTCTTCCTCGTCACTGTGTGTGTGTGTGTGTGTGTGTTTGTGTGTGTAAACTGCACCGTCATTGCAGGTTGCTCTCAGATGGAGCACGATGGAGTCTCTACTTGTCACTGATCTGCAGTGTTCAGCATTAACCACCAGAGGGCAGGCTGCTCCCACAGATCTAATGAAAGGGGTTTCCCATTCATGTCCCCCTTCCTGTTTAGGTCAACACTGCTCTGAGGTGTTGTCTAATGAGGTAAAAATACACAAATAATTGTGGCAAATAACTAATTTATACTGTCATGCGTGTTACAGTACTGCATATTTGTGATGTTCTGGCTACAACAGACCAAACAAAAAGAACACCTGACTGTATTTACATTACACACACTCTTATTGTTCAGGTTAATGTGTGACCGAGTGTGTGCCTCCTTTATGGCTCCCTTTCACGTGAGCAGACTGAGACTTAAACCTTCACCCCCGATGGGGCAGTCTGTCTGTCTATGATTGTGTCCAGTGGGCACCATGGCGACCCATTGTCGTGACAACCCTGTAACTGACTCAAGGGACTATTCTGCAATTGTTTTGGTCTTTTTTTTATCAAAGTAAGCCCATTTCTGCCCTTCATTTTTTGTATATGCACAAAATGACAGACACATGACAGACAGTTACATCAGTTGTTAAAAGTATGTGACTGAACAAATGAGGCCAGCTTGTAAAACCAGAGTAGTTATGTTGGTGTGTTGTACTGTGACAGGACTGAGGTGTGGCTCCTACCAAAGCTGCATGCCTTTCTTTTTGGTATTCACTGCATATTTAATTGGCAGAGTCATTTTCCTTTAACTCAAAGGTAAGCGTAAACATTTAACTGTTATGTACAAATAGGGTTAGGGTTATATACAAAAGTACATATATGAAAATAAAAAACAATAAACTGCATACTGTTTATCTGTTACCACAGCATTGGTATTACATAATAGTTTGCATTCTGAAGAGTTTGTACTCTAGGTTAGGGTTAGACAATACTGGGAGAGAAAAAGGGAATATTTGACTCAGTGTTAAGTTCACCTATATTTGTGGCTATCTGCCGTTTGATCTGGGTCTAGCGTGCTACACCGAGGTCAGAGTGCTCTGCAGTCTCTAAAATCTTAACTTGCAAATTGATTACAGCTTGGATCTCTTATGTGTTCACTCATAGCGTGGTTTCTGATAAATTGTCATGAAGTGCTGGAAAGTACATATTTTGAAATGGTAGTAGTTGGGGTTATGACAGTTTTGGCACTTTTAGCCAGTGATATCTCACAGGGATTGGGCAACACACACACACACACACACACACACACACACACACACACACACACACACACACAGTAGGAAAGCAAAAGAGAGGGTGAGAAAAAGATGGAGAGAGAGCAGACTGGTCATAGATGACTTTTAACTACAGCAGCCGTCTCCCCAGGGTTTGGTTTGGCTAACAAGCAGCAGCATATGGACTCCTCAGATCGAGCAGAGACAACACAGAGACTGCAAGAATACTACACCCAGACATGTGTATATTAATGTTTACAAAGGCTGGCAACCACTCCATTCATGCATACAGACAGAAAGACAGACAGAAGGACAGAAAGAAATCTAGATGCAGAAAAACAAAAACATGCAAAGGTCTGGTGGGAATGACATTGCTGCTCTCTGACTGTCTCTTATGTATGTGATATTATAGCAGTGGGAATGACTGAAGGCCTGATCATCTGTGAGGACTGCAGCAAGTGTGTGCGCTGTGTGTGCGTGTGTTTGTGTGCCCCCCTCCCGTCGGCTGGTGTGGTCACGCACACTCGGTGACGTCGCTATCATCATTATCCTCACCATCACCACATAGCCTCTAGTCTGTTTACAGGGTCACTCCGCTAAACGGAGACATTTACTGCAGTAGGTGAGTCTAAATGCCGGCATATGTTTTGTGTAAAATTAAATTTGCGTAGCTAAATCACAGCTAGCCTTTCCATTAGCAGTTTGAAGCTAATGCTAGCTAGCAGCAGCAGTTAGCTTGTCACGTTAGCAGTTAGCGGTAGCATAACTCTGGGTGTTGTCTGGTTATTAAATGTATTTATCAAAGAGTCTCCTCTGAATATCAGACGAGTTCATTTTGGTTGGGTTTGGCGAGTAACTGACTTCACATTGGGTGTTGAAGTAGTTGCTCAGTTTGTGTAACTAGCCAGACCGCTGACATCAGTTAGCTTAGCGACATGGCTAGTAAAAGTACACTCATCCATTATCGGACACGTCCTGATAATGATGAAGCTAACTGGCTGTCATGTATCTGTGGCTCTGAATGGGCGATGTGATGTAACGTTGTTTTTTCACGAACGATTGACTGTAATTTTGCCGTTAGTTGCTCGTTTATTTGTGGCTGTAGTAGCCAGTATGTAGCATCACCACATCATCTCACACCCAGTTTACTGACAGTAAACAAAGACGCAACCATGTTTAGCAACGTATAGCATGTTTAGCTAGCAAATTCCAGCTAAGCAGTATTGTTTTAGTGCTCCTGTTCACAGTGAATACGGATGTCGTTTACATATAAAGTCAAGGATGCTTCCTTTGTATTTATAGCGGAGGTAGGCCACCTTGCATGAAACAAAGGTCTCCTCTGCTAACATAGTAAAACAATACACCTTTACGAAATGACAAATTAAAAAAGAAAGGGGTGCCATTTCACACAACAAATGCTCTTTGTTTAATGTGACTATGTTTAGGCCATCATTGACTAACTTAAATGATCACAGGACAAGGTGGATCTAGATCGAGTGGCTTACCACCTTGATGAGTTCATGAAGGAGCTCGGTGCAGTATTAGGCACCCTTACTAAAAAATATATAGTTTATTTATTTTCGATTTACAAGATGAACGTGAACACACTTAGTTCCTTCCTCTTACCACCTTGACTAAACAGTTTCCCAGGGAAGCCCTGGTCCCCAGGTAATTGGTGTTATTCATATGAACAGGGAAGTAGATAATGGCAGGAGTCTTTGCCAGCATTTGAAATATTCATCATGCTAAAACCTCCTATAATCAGACGTATGACTGCTTCATGGAGCTTACAGTGTCTGTTCTTGTTCTTTTACAGTGGACAGTGGATCTGCAGCCCTGTATACTAAACAGGAGAACGAGCTTTTCATCATGAACTGCGATATAGATGGTGCGTCTGCATACACGCAGCTTTGTGAAACACCATTATGTCCGATAATGTAATAATAAGATAATATGTTTCAAGTGCATGTGAATAGCATCAGCGTTTGTATCTATTGCAGGAGACATGGAGAACCAGGTGGAGATGGAGGAGAAGACGAGGTTAATCAATCAAGTTTTGGAACTTCAGCACACGCTAGAAGGTAACACACACACACACACACACACACACCTTTATCTCCTCTCCTACACTCTCCCTCCATCTTCTTTTCACATTCTCAAAAATTATGGAAAAAATGGCAAATATATCTGTAACATGAATTCAAGATAGTGAATTTAGTTGAATCTGAGTTACATAGAGTAACTTGATGGCCATAATAGTTTCACTAGGCTAAATGTCACCAACCAGATGTCTGTTGTTATAAAAAAACATGTTATCCAGCACAGCTGTGGACTGTCAGAACTTAAAACGTAAGCCGAGTAGACCATGGACTTTGTCTTTGTTCCAGACCTGTCAGCGCGGGTTGACGCAGTCAAGGAGGAGAACCTGAAGTTAAAATCTGAGAACCAAGTCCTCGGGCAGTACATTGAGAACCTCATGTCTGCCTCCAGCGTCTTCCAGACCACCGACACCAAGAGCAAACGGAAGTGAGGGACCCTCAGAAAAACACAGTCCCATGCCAGCAGCTGGGAGAGGGAACCCACCACTGAGACATGGAGAGGGGTTTGTTTTCTCAGCTGACCTGGGTTTCTGTAACCGTTACAGCCCACTTACCCGAGTCGAAGCTAACTATTTAATTATCAAAAACATAAACTGACTTTGTCACATGTCCCGCTGACTCAGAAATAGATCAATTTAATGTTAGTTTGACCCAGGTCTGTTTTGCAGCAGCTCCCTCTCCAAAATACAGAACCAGACTATGTATATGAAGCGGTTAAGGGTCATTTGTACCATGAGTTTCTTCTTAATGCTCTCTGTCAAAGTAGTATCTGTAAAATAATTCTTAGTTCTGCTTTACCTGCTTGGTTTTGTGTTCGAGGACAATTCAGATTTTCTGTGATTTTCCCAACTTTCTGATAGTGTTCTTGTCTCAAACTGACCTGTAATTGGGTGAAAACAAATCAAAAATATTACAAATACTGGTTGACCATAAAGCTCATTTCAACACTGGTTTATTTCTTTTTTTAAAATATTATCTACATCAGCTGGATCTGAGTTTTTCAGTAGGTCTTGGATGTCATGTCTATATGAAACATGACTGTATTCTGCCATTTAAAAGCACTCAAACTGAACAGTATTACTGAGAATAAAATTTATTTGGATTGCATGTATGAGTTCTTTTTAATCTATGAAATGTCATTAAATCAATAGTCACTAACTTACAGACTGTATAACGCTTCTGAGAACTTTTTAATAATAGAAGGTGGATACTAGATAGGTGCCATTGAGAGCTCGGCAACAATGCAAGTAAAAGCACAGAGAAACTAAAAGTTATGTAGACTTCATAAAAGTGTAAATCTTAACTTATCAATGTTTTATTGCAAGTGGTTGAATTTTTAAAAAAAATCACAATTACACACGATTTTCATTTTGCACTTCAAAGTATTTGTAACCCTTTCAGTTGATCATGTCATGTATGAGGGTTGTGGCCCAGACTGTAATGTAACAAAGGAAATGGACATAAATGCAGCCGGGCTGACTCGGAGACAAACCCTGCATTATTACATTGTGTGTACTCATCCTGTTTGAGGGGAGACAGACGGACTAAATGGGCCAGATAAGTCAAAAGACACGAGGAAGAGGGGGGGGAGAAAGGGATGCTTTCCCCTTTAACTGCAAGCAGTAAAGAGGCCTTGAGTACTATTGATCCATCCGGCCAGGCCTGGAGTACACCACCTGCTAGAGGAGGGGTTTGACTGTAAAATGTGCTAATGTACTCTGTGTGCAGCAGAGTGGAGGGTGTGTCTTCCAACACTTCTGCTGCATCAGGTACAAAAATAATGAGGGTGTAAAGAGATGAAGTCATGTAATCTGAACACATTTGCATTCCCTTTAAATGTATCCAGTTCAATAATGTCTGGAAAACAGTAATTCATGTGTAAACATCAAGTGACTGTGGTGCTGTTTGAAAGGGGTGAAGTTATTATTATGGGAGGCTATAAACACTGTATATGATGTAATTTATTGAGGTTATTTTGATATTTTTAACAGGTGTACAGTATCATTTCTTCAATTTCTGTCTGGCTATGAATATGCCCTACCTACACGCCCTGGTACCAACTGTCTTGTGTGTAGACACCCTGCACCTTTGTCTTTAAACTGTTTTTTGTTTTAATAAAAACCTAAGATCACTCCTTTCTCTGGGTCTTTTGTCAACTAATCCTACATTAACTTTCAGGAGCACAACAGAAAGTGTTGAGATATATATACATCTATATCTATATCTATATATAGAGATCTATATCTATATATATATAGAGATCTATAGATCGATAGATCGATCTCTAGATATCTATAGATCGATCTCTAGATATCTATAGATCGATCTCTAGATATCTATAGATCGATCTCTAGATATCTATAGATTGATATATCTATAGATCGATATATCTAGATATATCTATAGATCGATATATCTAGATATATCTAGATCGATATATCTAGATATATCTAGATATATCTAGATCGATATATCTAGATATATCTAGATCGATATATCTAGATATATCTAGATCGATATATCTAGATCGATAGATCTAGATATATCTAGATCGATATATCTAGATCGATAGATCTAGATATATATATAGATCGATATAGATCTAGATATATATATAGATCGATATAGATCTAGATATATATATAGATCGATATAGATCTAGATATAGATAGATCTATATCTATCTATATCTATATCTATAGATATATAGAGATATATATAGATAGATATAGATAGATATATATATAGATAGATCTATCTATATAGATCTATCTATAGATATATAGATATATATATAGATATATATATCTATAGATATATATAGATATATAGATATATATATAGATATATATATCTATATATATATAGATATATATATATATAGATATATATATCTATAGATATATATCTATCGATCTATTGATCTAGATAGATATAGATAGATAGATAGATATAGAGATCGATAGATCGATATATAGTTTTTGTATTAAATAGTTTTATTTTCAAGAGCAATGTACAATTTGCGAACAAATGTAAACAGGGATTCCTGCCAGAATCTGGCAAGAACATGATCTACAAAAGCTTGAGACAATAATATAAAACATATGAGTTATCGTCAATGTTTTTCCCAGGCAATAATCTTGGATCTGAACTCCAGCTAGTCTAGATACTCTGGGAAAGCGCTGCTGTGTACTGACTGAATGAGACGTGTTTTCGGTAGGTTTAATATCCAGCGGTTTGCTGCAGAAACCTACGAATCTTGTCTTATTGACAACGGATGGCCAAGGCATTCAGTGTTTGGATCAGACCTAGACCTTTGAAACAGACCTAGGTTCAGAATAAGCACATCAGTGGCATGTCGTATTTAAGAAAACTGCCTCAACAGGAACAGTGGTGGAAGAGGTGGGCCTTTTCAGGCTGACAGGCATTGGTGACAGCAACGGCTTAGAGGAGAGAAGAATGATGAAGAAAGCGCGGAAGCTCAGGATCGAGGAAGAAAAACATCTAAATGCACAGAATCTCCATGGGATTGATTCATCTGATCGTTCAATGAGCAGGCAGGGAGGAGGAGCCTAGACGAGACGAGGGATGCAGGATGTGGTTTGGGAGACTGCGGCCCTGTGATGGGTGTAGCCGAGGAGGTGACTACCGGGTGGTTGGGAGGAAATGCATGCTGCTCTGCTCAGAGAGGGCGGAGCAGCAGCTGAGACGGCCCTTTCCACCTCCTCTGCATTTAGGGGAGAAAGGAGACGGCAGGCGTGGGGTTCACCTCTTCAGTCTTTCCGTACCCTCCTCTTTCTCACAGCTTGTTTGTGGCTCTCTTCAGTGATGTCTCCTCCCTCCTTCGACTGGGGGCCACAATCGGAAAGAAAGAGAAAGAAAAAAAAGGCAGATTTAACGGATGAGATACAAAACGTCCCTCTTGCATTTTTCACATGACCGACATGTTAACAAATCCAAGTGTAGAGTTCGCCTCATGTTACAGGGTGTCTTGACTTTGTATCAAGTCAAATCAAACTGATTTAATTAAATTAAAGGCCTTTTAAATGCCAAGTAGAGTGAAATACATGATCACTCTCAGAAAAAGAGCCGAGCACATTTCACACAAGGGCACAGTGTCCGAGACGTGAGACAGTCTCAACACAGGGGAGGTGAGGGAACGATCCTGTTCAGTGTATTGTCTGCAGGCCACAAGAGACTGGCTCACCATGTGTGTGTGTGTGTGTGAGTGTGCGCATATGATAAAAGAAAGTGGGGCATTTATAGGTCCATGAGGTGCTTTGCACCTTGTATCAGTACACCAAACGGCAACATTTTAGCTAACTTTTTAAACATAATGTATTCAAGGCCATGAGTATGGTTAATGAAATCCAAGGACCTGGTTCTAGGTATTAATTCCTAGTGTGTGCATGAACCCCCAGATCTCTACCAACACCATCAGCTCATGTTGCTCTGCAGGTAAGAATAACTCACCACGACACCCACCTCCTCTTCTAATGTTCGCTCAGGAGCTTTGCTCTCCTCTTCTCCCTCCTCCTCCTCTTCCTCCTCCTCCTCATCATCCTCATCATCCTCCTCCTCATCATCCTCCTCCTGATTGTCACCTCCCGCATCGGCTTCATCCTCCTCCTCCTCCTCCTCCTCCTCCTCCTCCTCTTCTGTTGCTTTTGAAGGAGACAGAGTAACGGTAATGACAGTAAGGACAAAGAAATATGAGTCTAGAACAATGTAGCAAAAGACCAATACTCTGATCAATAAAGCAACAACAGAAGAGTGTGTGTGTGTTTGACCCTCTAACCTGCAGCTGGAGCACCTTCTGCAGCCTCAGCTGCTTTGTCTTCCTCATCTCCTGCCGCTGCCGCCTCCTCTTCTTCTTCTTCTTCTTCATCTTCTTCATCCTCCTCCTCCTCCTCCTCCTCCTCCTCTACATCAGCCCGGGGAGGATCCACCTTCTTGTACACGTAGTTGTCATCTGATTTCTGTGACGCAAACAGGAGATGGGATCACAGTCTGGTTTAGAGGGGGTCTGCTGGAGTGCTTCGCATAAATTGAGGATGGGAAACACAATAAATAAATCCCTCATTAGGTTCACAGTACCTTTGGCCAGCAGAAGAGCACACCCAGTCCAACAGGCAGGCCAACTGTCAGTATGTAAATCACCCATAGCCACGGCCGTTCCTCTGCTGCGATCATCAGCTGAGTGAAAATCCCCGGCTGGTGGGATCGAGGAGCGAAAGACAAGAGCAAGAGCAAATAGTGAGCCTTTGTGAACCTCTCTCACACAGATACTGTAAATTATATGCACACAGTGACAATGTAAGTGTCTGTGAGGGTGCTGCTCCTTACAAAAACATCACACTGACCTCGTTAGCGCTGGCCACCAGTTTCTTCAGCCCCCAGCTGTCGGAGGCCCAGCGGTCGGCCACTTCCTTGTGCGAGGTGATAATGAAGTTGTCAAAGTAGATATCAGCGGTCATGGACCACAGCTCCAAGCCCACAGCCTTGAAAGGTGTCATCCTGAACGGCTGCAGGTCCTCAAAATAATCCGGGTTATTGATCTTGTGCGGCTTCCAGACTCCCTGGGGACAAGAATGTAGAGGGAAAACAATTATGGTGGCTTCAGCTGGTGCACAAACATACAGCGTCTCCAACAGGACAGGTCAGAGGTGTTACAAGTAATACAGAGAGTGAACTGGCAGAGTGCTGTAGCGTGCACCTCATTATTTGTGCTCTACAAAAAAAAGAAGCTAGAAACAGTTCCTAAAAGAGAAATTAAATAAAACTCCAAAAAGCCCAAAACACCTGGTTTAGTTAATGCTATAGTCACCTGATAGTTGGGATTGTCCACCAGAGGGGCTTTCCACTTGCCCTTGTACTGAGGGTTGTTGATCTGTGGACGCTTCCACTCCCCACAGCCAGGGGCCGTCTCACAGGCTGGGTTAGGAATCTGCGGGGCTTCCCACTCTCCATCCATCTCCTCATCCCTGCACACAGAGAAGAGCGGTCAGGCTTGATCGTTCAAACTGCCGGGTGTGGGTTTGTTTGGTGACCATGTTCATTTTACCAGTCTTCTGGTTTCTCAGCGTTGGGGTCGGAAACAAACTCTGGTTCTTCGTCCAGCCAGTCCTCTGGCTTCAAAGCGTCAGGGTCTTCAATCTTTGCTGGAGCATCTTCGTCCCTGACACACACACACACACACACGCACACGCGCGCACACACACACACACACACACACACACAGTTATTGATGACTAGGTCCAATCTGCAACAGGATCTGTACTGTCTACTAGTATGTGGCTTGCGGTCACCAGTCATCGGGCTTGGCAGCCTCGGGGTCAGGCATCTTGGCCCTCTCGTCCCAGTCCTCCGGCTTAGAGTCATGTGGGTCGTCTATCTCTTTGGGTGGGTTGACTGGAGGCACCACGTCGTGCAGCAGGCTGCCGCGGCTCACGCTGGACTGGTCTATGAACATCTCGTAGCTGTTGTCTGGGTTCAGGACTGACAATGGGGGAAACGTGAGCAAAATGAGAAATGTACATTTTATAAAAAAAGGCAGAGATAGGTATGTAAGCGATTACATTTCAGACAGATGTAAAAACGTATATATTCTCCTGTACCCAGAGTGTAGAGGTGAGTCTTCTTGTCAGTGTAGAACTTCTTGAGGTCGACATCAGCCCTCTTGGCATGCTTCTCCTCCGTGTCTTTGTTCAGAGGATTCTGGTGGCGGAAGATGAAGTGCAGCTTGTAGTCCTCGCCACACTTGTCTGGTCCGAACATGAGAGAGTACGATGTACGGTCGTGGAATTGCTCCTTAAGTGAAGAAAAAAAAAGTTCATTTTAAAAGAGTGTACACAAGACAGAGGAGGAATGCTCTGAAGGTTTTAGATTCAGTTCAAGGTATCTTCAGTATTTGCTTCAGTGTAAGATGCTTTTGATAGACGTGCCCATCAAATGGCCTGTGCACATTAAAACATTACACATAAACAGAGCCAGGGAGAATGACGACATGTATACCAACCAGATTGAGATTGCCAGTGTCTGAAAGCAGTTTGATGTAGGCTCCACCACAGTCGATGCCATCCTGGAAATTCACCTCATACCTGCAACCAGAACACAACAAAACAACTTAACAAGTCACATTATTTCACATGGTTTAGTTAACTTGAAAGTGCAAATAAGAAGATTTAAGTCACACACTTATCCATCCACGAAACACTGTAGCTCATGGAGAAAAAAGTCCACTTGCATGAACTAAAAAAAAAAATGTTTTCACGTGTGTGTGTGTGTGTGTGTTTGAACTCACTGTACGACCAGAGGTTCATCCTGGAAGACAAAGGGTTTGTTCAGCATTGCGGAGATGGCGTGGTGTTTGGCCCGGGACTTGAGCACCAGACCCTGGTCTCCTGGAACTTTGTTCTCCTTCAGCTGCTCCACAGCCCACTTCCCTACAGACAGAGACGTTCAACGTTTATTATCACGGTGTGGTCGCAGAATCTCTGCTTGAGGCGGCTTCAGTGTCGTCTACATTAAAGTCCAACTGGGGCGTTGGACCTCATATCACAGTAATGACGCTGCAAAGTGTTATACAGTAGCGATGGTTGCCCAAAGAAAAATAAGACTAAATATCTTTATTTACATCATACATGTGAACAGTGAGTCTGTGCGAAGTAAAGATAAAAACAGCCAGTTGTGCCTCTCTACAAGCTCTCGTACGCACACATTTAGATAAGCCAAGAGGGCGGGAAGAAAAAGGAACAAACCGTCATATTTGGCGATGTCGTCATCTGCATCCCCCTTCACTGTCTTTGAGAGCTGCCAACTATGGAGATGAACATCACAAAACCCTCAGCTTCCACACATCAACAAGTGAACACAATACAACCACTGATTGTGTAAGTTTATCTGGGGTCGGAGGCTCATCTATCCGAGCAGGAATTAAACATTTACGCTGTATTTTTAGCCACCCTTGGGGGGTAGATTTGTCAGGCTCTACCTTTCCAAAGAGCCGTCATCAAACGTCTCTGCAAAGTACACATCTCCAGTCGGGATGGGAGTCTTGTATGTTACCTGCGGAACAAAAAAAAACATAAATTAGAAGTTATTTTACAGGCCACGTTCCCCTAATCCAAAAAAGCCGTGACACACTTCAACATCACAAATGAGCTTTACTTAACCTATGACCCATTTCTGACCTGGAAGGAGACATTTGCATCCATTCCAGCCTTCCCACTTGCTGTGCCATCTGTCTCATCCAAGAGGTTTTCATCCATCACCGTCGCTGCTTCCTCCGCTTCCTCCTCCTCCTCCTCCACCTCCACCTCCTCTGCCATCAGAACCTTTAATTCCTCCTCGTCCAACCCCATATCTTCATCCATGTCTGAAATATCAACGTCCAACTGCGTCTCCTGGGTCGCCACAGCCAGCGAGGACAGGAGCAGCATGCACCACATCCAACCCCTTTCCAGCTTCATCTGTAGGGGGAGGGTAGAGATAGCAGACGGGTGAACAGAGTGTGCGATAAGGGCGTCAGAGATGAGCACGGTGTGAGGAGGGTGAGGGAGGATAAGGGATGGGAGGAAGGGGGCAGGTGTGAGATGTTATTTATGGAGAGGAAAGGGGTGTGTGCGCCGGGGGGAGGTGGACATCAATGATATAAATAGAAATCACAAGTGCGTAAAAGGATGAAAGGATAAGAGGGTGAAAGAAAAAAACAAAGAGATTGCCATCACATTAGAACACAGTGTTACTTGATGTAGGGCCTGTGTCCTCAGATCACATCCTTATCTCACAAGACTGACCCTTCTCTGCGGCAACGCATTCCCACCAGCTAAATCAAAAAGACGGACTCCTTCTAAGCAGATGCCACTAACATCTGTACAATACAAGCGTCTTTGGATTTATAATATGTCCTCTTTCTAAAATACTCTTACTAGTCCTAATTTGTGACGCATCGTATTAGAATCTTTTTGTGTGTCTCCTAAAATGCATTTGAAACCCTACCTGGTGATTACTGGTACAATTCAGATTTTTGTGACACCAAACAACAGCTGTAATGACCTATCGAGCTGGCCGCACCTGCTTACTCCGCTTGAGAGCAGCAGGAATTGAAAAAGCATCAGTGCAGACGGCACAGCAGCACGCTCCCCTTCATTCTTAATCAACTTTGATTCCCATGCTGCTGTTGTTCTGTTAGGTAAACGGAGTGCACGGGGATCAACAGGGTAAACACAAGGGAGAGATGATGAACAAATAATACATCTTGTCTTAAAAAGCATCAGAATGTGGCTCAGTTATTTGCATCTTTGGTCTTAATGCAAGCAATGCAACAGTTTGTAAGAAATCATGGCCACATCCCATGTTTCTGATAGTAGGAACACTTCCTGCACACAATCCTAATATTTAATGTATGAGGTGGTCACATGTGGCAGTGGATTAATCAATGAATTGGCTTCTTGACTTCAACAAGAGTCAACGGTGGTTCTCAACCAGTGACATTTAGAGTCAAAACTGTAAGTTCTTGGTTCTTCTATTCCAACCAATGACTTTAATTTGCGTCAATAAAAGAAGTACCTGCTAAAGGGGCACAATACTTTGATGAAGGCTCAGCTTCTTTACGATGACAAAGGGCCATTTACCTTCACAGATGAGAGCATGGCTCTTGCAGAGTGCACTTTATGGCAACCTCAACGGTAAAATTAACCATGTGAGGCAAACCTTTTACTAGTTGAATGCATTCATACCCCATATGTCTATAAAATGTCAGGGACAGTGAACTAGGTGAATGGTGACAAGGAGGCACAGTCAGGTTAATACACCAGTTTTAGATTAAACAGTGCAAATGAAATATTCCTCTCAGACATAATCATTCCAGTTTTGGAAAATATTCCAAATGATTTTCATTTATAAAAGGATAATACACATTGCTTAATATTTCTATAAATATACCAGTCTTAGTGTCTTTTGACGTGTGTGAAACCAATCAAGTGATCAGGAAACAGAAAAACATGAATACAATAATACAGCAACAATATCCACTATGTTGTACATGTAGAGAGCAACTCAAAGCACAACACAGCCAAGCCATACAGATTATAACCGTAATTAATTAAAATACGGCAATCGTATTGTAGATAAATGGCTCTGGCTGCAACACCTAGCTCGCTATGCTAAGTGCACATCGCGCAAACGTTAGCATAACACGAGCTCATCTAGTAGACTAACGGTAGACTAATGGGCTTAGACTGAAGAAATGTTTGGACAGCTACGGTTAGCTTGCTGAACTAGTAGTAATGTCGCAAAGGGGTGCGATGGGAGAGAATGAATGAGCGCACACAAAACAAACCTTTTGCGGCTTCTTGTCAATTGCAGAGAAAATGTCTTGATAACAGCTTTTTCTACAGAGTAAGTATCTTGTGCGTTTCTCCTGCTCGGAGGATCACCGAGGCCCGCCGTGTACAGATACACGGTTCTCGGCTGGAGAGGATGGAACGTAGATGACAGCTTGGCCCCGGATAACGGTGCGCGGTTGATGAGCGCGAGCAAGTCCCCCAGCAAATGGGCATGACGCATGCGCACATTGCGCAGGGCTAGAGAGCGTGAATGCTGCCTTCATGTGCAGCAAAATATTAGCGGAGATGAGAGCGTTACCGGGGGCTGCTCGGAATAGATAACACTCGTAGGGGCATTTCACTCCAATATTGCTATTATTTTGCATGAGATACGTTCTGAATAAACTACATTTACAACTGAAGCGATATAGAATAAATTCCCCACCTTTCTGAAAAATATTTCTTCACGTTTTATGGAGCACCATTTAGTTGTAGTGTTGTTTTGAAATGTAGTTTTTAACCTTTTATCCACGATACTCAGTTTGTCATTGAAGTTCTAAAATACAGTCACCAAAAACTCCTTTAGCAACAGGATTCATATTTACTCAATAAAATGCTGGAAATATTTAGAACTTTGAAAGCCCCAAACAACGAGTTCACTTTAGGGCATCAGAAATTCACTTTGCAGCTGCCTTTCAAAGTAAAAGCTTACTTTCTACTAAAAATGTTCCTTTGTCATATACTGCTAACGAATATCTGGATCATAATAACACAAGCACAAATATGCTAACATAATAACAATTATGTACAATCTTTCCGAAATAGTCAAATAAAGAAAATGATTTACCCCAACCTTTACTATGGCATGTAGTATGCACATCCGGGGTAGAGTTCAGAACATTTCTATGGTGGCCACATGCTTGTCAGCAGTGCAGTTGTGAACTACATTATTGAAATCTGTCTGCAGTCACCCAAGAACCCTCAGAATGAAGGACACACCGCTGTCTAACTGCGAGCGGGATTTCTTGCTCAAAGCGATCGAAGAGAAAAAGGTGAGCTGGTTTCTGATAAGTTTGCACTTAAATATAAAACTGACGACAAAATACATGTTGCACAAACGGAAAACCATACCAATGTAGAATAAATAAGCTTTCTGTGTCTCGTGAATTCCTTAAATACACGCCGGAAACTATAACCAAATACTACAGTGAAATTGGAAATAGAAAGTTCTTCAGTGAGTTTGGTTCATCAATGTCTGCTTTGGAGGCTTTGTTGTCCTTAGTTAAAGTTTCACCTGTCGTCTCCCTGCAGCGTCTGGATGGACGACAGACCTACGACTACAGAAAGATGAAGATCACATTTGGGACTGACTATGGATGCTGCTTTGTGGATCTGGGAAAAACCAGGTGAAGCTAATGCTAGATATATGTAAAGTCAAGTGTTTAGCTTTTTCACCCCGTTACTGTTCAACCCTCCTCATGAATCTTTCCCCAAACTTTGCTCAATTAACCTTAGAGTTGGCTATAAAGGATTTTTTTGCTGTACAGTTTGACAGCTTCATATACAGCGTTTCTGTTTTTGCACCATTCTATCAGATTGGGAATTCAACATGTCTTGTGCATTATTTTATAAACTTTTTCCCATAAACTTTCATGTTTATAATACACGTTAAAATAAAGGGATGGGATAAACAATGCTTGGCACTGATATTGTGCAAAATTGAAGTGAGCACTTGCCCATGTCATGCACCCACACTCGTATGCATTTTTTTAAATTTAAAAACACCGTGAAGTTATATATTTTTTGTGTTAATGGAGTATCAATGTGCTGCACTCTTCAGGGTCATGGCCCAGGTGTCATCTGAGCTGGTGACTCCTAAAGAAAATCGACCAAACGAGGGAATCATGTTCTTCAACATCGAGCTGTCACCCATGGCCTCACCAGCATTTGAACAAGGCAGGTGAGGAAAAAAAACCTTTTTAGTTTTTATGTATTAAACTAGAACTGTGTCTGAGACATAGTTCATTTGCTCCAACTGTTTGTGCAGAGAGTGTAAATCATCTGTGGTGTTTTGTTTGTTCTCTCCAGACAGTCTGAGTTGTCAGTGAAGTTAAACAGACAGCTGGAGAGATGCTTGAGGAACTCCAAGTGCATTGATACTGAGTCCCTGTGTGTGGTGTCTGGAGAAAAGGTGACACACACGTAAAAGAAAAGAAAAGAAAAGAAAAGAGAGAAGAACCGTATAATGATGATGTGTGTGTTCAGGTGTGGCAGATCAGAGTGGATGTTCACATGTTGAATCATGATGGGAACCTGATGGATGCTGCCAGCATCGCTGCCATCACCGCTCTGTGCCACTTCAGACGTCCTGATGTCGGCATCCAGGGAGATGAAGTCACAGTGGTGAGTCGGCAACAAACGCAGCAGGTGGTGTCTCTGCATCGCTGAATCTACTGGGGAAAGCCTGACACTCCAAACACCAAACTGCTCCGTTATCTGAATTTCTTTGATGATGCTCACAGGGAATATAATGTGCCAAATGTCCTGCTTTAATTCCACAGTGGCCACTCTTTTTTTTTTTTTTTTTTTTTTTTTATGTCAGCGTCAATACATCTTTTTTTACTGTGAAAACAAAAACACCTCAGTTATGTTGCACCACATATTTTTCATACTTTGTGGTTGTAATTCAGTTTTTTTTCCTGTGCTCCCTTAGTACAGTCCAGAGGAGAGAGACCCTATTCCTCTGAGCATCTACCACATGCCCATCAGTGTCAGCTTCTCCTTCTTCCAACAAGGGTAAGGCATCACATTTAAATACAAGACGGAATCTTTTTCTGTGCAAAGTACTGAGTAGGTAAGATTTTTATTTGAGGGGCGCTCACCCATGTGTATTCAACAATATTCAACCCTAACCCAAAACTACGTCCTACAAATGAATCATACAGTTGAATTGACGCCTCTCTAAAACAGTTTCAACAAAAACTAATAGTTTTAGCTAGGTGTACCTAATAAACTGGCATCTAAGTGTATACAAGAATTGATTATTATAATAATAAAAGTATCCAGCAGACTAATTGAAGCTCGGCAGTCATTGGATGAACGTTACCCTTCATCATAGCAAGCGTTCTTCTTCTGTTCTTCCTTCTCGCTCTGCAGAACCTACCTGCTGGTCGACCCCTGTGAACGGGAGGAGCGGGTGATGGACGGCTTGCTGATGATCGCCATGAACAAACACAGAGAAATCTGCTCCATTCAGTCCAGCGGGGGCATCATGTTGCTTAAAGAGCAGGTAAAAAGAGTCATGATAATACTGCGCTGTTGATTTTGGTTTGATTTTGATGGAGATCAATTGTTTTCTAAAAAAATAATGTCACTCTGTTCACTGTGGAGCTTCGCAAACACCCGTGTTTGCTGGGCGAGGTGCTCTGTAAAACACACACAAAAGATAAAATGAACACAAGTGAAGTTTTAACAAAAAGAAAAAACCTATTCACGTGAAAAAAATACTAAAATGTTAACACCAGTATATCTTTTGTGTGTGCTGTTGAAGGTTATGAGATGCAGTAAAATAGCCAGCGTTAAAGTGTCTGAAATCACAGAGCTCCTCAGCAAAGCCCTGGAGAACGACAAGAAAGCAAGGTGAGCAGTGACATCACATAACCACACGTCAGCATTGTGGAAGTGGACACTTTGACCTCTGTTGTTGCCGTTAGAAGATATACAAGAACTCTGTATTTTTACATTTTCCAGGAAGGAGGGTGGTAGGTGTGGTTTTGCGGAGTCCATGCCACAGGAGCGAATCACAGCACTGAAAATAGACGAGACCTCAGTGGAGATGACGGATGTGACGGAAAGAGCCAAAGACATCGTCCAGAAAGCCGAGGCTCCACCTCAGATGTATCCTTAACTCGGCAATAACGGCAGCACCTACCGGAATGTCTATCTTTTTATCCGTCACTTTGCCATATTTTACCCACTGTGGCACCTTAACCGTACATACCAGGGTGCGTTCCCCTGTGGTGCCCGTCCCAGGTGTGGGTCAGGTAGGGCAGGGACTGCAGAACACCTGGGGACTGGAGGAGGAGGAGGAGGAGGAGGAGGAGGAGGAAGAGGAAGCAGAAGAATGTGACAACAGTGATGAAGAACAGGAGGAAAAGGTTACAAAGATGGAAGAGGAACAGCATGAAAAGGAAGCGAGCAGAGGTCTGTTAACTTAAAAAACAAAAACAATCTTATGTCAAGTAAAAGTTATATAGGTAGGGTTTCTGTTTCTAAAGAGGACAGGAAAATATTGTTAACAAACATAAAAGTAGTTTGATAGTGATGCAACAGGTTGGAATCTGATGTCAAACCAGCACGCCGATGTGTATATATACTGTGTATTTGATTAATATTTAAGCTGAGGTGATATAAGTGATTATTCTGTCAGTATGTTTAATTTTTGTTTTGGCCTACAGGAGATGTGGTTGAGATATCTGACAGTGAAGAGGAGGATGTGGTCATACTTCATCCAGAGACACCAGACAAAACTCCGAAGTGGGTGCACCCGTTTTTCTATGCACAGCAACTGAGAAGGTATGCATGTATGTTTTTTTTTTTTTTGTTTTTTTTTAAATTTACATCCTTTTTCTTGCTCCTAGAAATACAGAAAGCAGGTCCCACCAGAAGGGGGCAGCAGCATCAAAGAAAAGACAGAAAAAAATGAAAGACTGATCCCATGGAGCTTCCTGCAGCCAGAGATCTGCATATCTGCAGCAGTGCCAGACACTGCAGCACCTCCTCATAACAAAGACCCCCATTCTGGCTAAAATGACCCCAAAATGCCATGGGTGAGGATTGGGATCAAATACGGAACAGAAACACTTCCAAGTGTTGGTTTTTTACACTTAGAACATGGAGTTTACTTCTTGTTTGTAGCCATTTGAACCGATTTAGAAACAGACTGCGCCTACAAATGAATAGAAAAGGATTTTTAACAATGAAAGGATTTTGGTAGTAGTATTAAATAAAGTATCTTCAACCACTCTTGGAGGTTAAGCAGACTTTTACATTTCAGTTATGTTTGCAAAGTGCTTTATTTTGTGAGGAAAATGGGATCCGTGATATTGTATATCAAAATAAAAAGATCAATATAGTAACCTTTATTTTGTCAAATGTTTATGGAACTTCTGCCTCTCACAAATATGTACATATATAAGTTTTGTTTGCATTTCTTTTCAAACAGGTAAAATAATCACACATTGTAAAAATGTGTGGTATAAAACTCAGGTTCCACCGAGATTTGAACTCGGATCGCTGGATTCAGAGTCCAGAGTGCTAACCATTACACCATGGAACCCCAATGACACCTTTGTCTGATGACCTGAAGATAAAGGAAAACACTACAGGACTGCAGAGAGACTATGATTGTCAAAGGTATGACAATGAGGAAAATAACACGCAGTGTGATGGAGTTGTATTTCCAACTAAAATACTCGTGGCCAGTACGGGTATCGAACCCGCGACCTTGGCGTTATTAGCACCACGCTCTAACCAACTGAGCTAACCGGCCGCTTGTCTGATATAAGCATCTTATATATAAGCATCTTATATATCTCCTCTAAATTTGGATATTTTAACATGGGGGTCTACGGGGATTGCTTTTGGAGCCAATTAGCTATATCATGATTTTTTTTGTGACTTTGGTCATTTAGTTGTACTATACTATGACTTTTGTATGCCTTTTTTCGGTATACTATACGATGACTTTTTAGCTACTTATTTTATTATAATATACTATATTATACACATATACTGGGATAACCAGATCCAAATAGACCGGTAGCCACAACTCTTTTTGTTGGAGCCATATCAAGCACACTTTGAAGTGCCAGTGTTGGCAAGTCCTCTCTTAGCAGATACACATGCCTAACTGCTATGTAATAGAGCCAAAAGAAAATGAGGTCGTGCACATGCTGTGTGATTGTGAAATCATGCCTCTGTATCCCCTCTCCTCCCCAGGAGTTCAGGACTTAATCAAAGCTTTGCTTTTTTTTTTGTCTTTTCCTTCAACTGTATCTTCTTCACAAAGACACACACACACATCCAGCCCGGTAGTCCAACAGTCCAACACACAAAACCACGATTGCCTTCTCAGTCTATTAAAGGACACAGGGATGCTTTTTGAGATTAAGTCACAGACCTGCGGTTATTCTTGTCACTTTTATTAAATGTAACGATAATCTCTCCCTTACCGTAACCATACCACAGCATGCACGCGTAGATATTGCAGAAAGCAATTTACACATCTTTGCAACCATTGCCATCGAAGTAATCCAGCATTTTGCAGAATACCAGTGTCAACTTTCTTTCCACAGGACAAGACAAATATTTCCCGTGCCTTTCAAAGTGAGTTTATAAAACCTATCCATTTCATTGTGTGGGTGTGTATGTGGTTGTTTATACAGTATGTGTGTTAAGGATGTATTTTTTTTCTGATTGCATTGATCTGACAGCAAACATCCCCAATGTGTGTTTGTTATTGTGTTCAGGAGGGATGGTTGTGATGGTTTTGGTTTGTTAATCTTATTCTATATACATTATCCTGCAGTTTGTTTGTATTGCATTTTTTTCTAGAATGTACTTTTTGTTGTTGACAAATTCAAAAAACAAGTGGTGCTTTTGGTTGTAGACTTTGTGTATTCATCTCAAGAAACATTTAATCGCAATGAAAAGAAAAAGACAATCGTTGCAGGAGCATGAAGAGATTGTGTTATTATATGCATCGTCCTCCATGGTCTCTCTTTGTAGATTAGTCATGTAATCGGATCTGCTTTGTATTTGATGCTATGGGAAACAGTAAGAGATATGAGAGAAACAGGAACATGTATTGACCCGATGTTTACATCTAGTTCCTGTACATAAGCAGAAGTTGTGTCTTTTTACATTTAAAAGCATTGAGCAGACAGTACTGATCAGTTAAACTGAGATAACGTCTAATCTGTATTGTATTGTGACCAATAAGAGGGGCTGGTTTGGGAGGATTTCTAAAAGGATTTCTTACCCTAAAGGGGAGATGGCATCAGTGTGTTTCCCTCCTCCAGACCCTGGCCTGAAGACTTACGTACATGTCAGTTCTCAAATGACCAGGGTGGATGAAATGACAGACCAGCTGCTGAAGACCAGTGAACAGGGACACATGCGCATCACTGGGATAGGAGACTAATGAAATGAAAGAGACATTTTTCAGGTTAGAGAACTAGAGAGGAGAATGGAGTAAATCCTGAAAACTAAAGGAGTAGACTGGTCATGACATTGAATCATAGCTCTCTGGTCTATAAAGAGGATGTTGTCTGACCTTTACTAATGGAAAAATAAAAATACCTGAGTAATAGATTTAAAGCTGAATCATAACAGTGCAGTGCCCTTGCTGAAGGACGGTTTTCAAATAGGCTAGCATGCTAACATAGCTCTACATATCTAGTTAGCAAAATAACATTCAGGTAACTTTATATTGCACTTCTTAACATTCTGCATCACACAGTAAATATTTTATGGCTGTCAGATTAATAACAACAATATCGACTTACCCTCCAGAGAGAGGACTTATTTAGCTAACGTTACAATTACAAAAGAATACAAATAAAAAAATCTGGTATTTTTTCCTGTTCGGTTATTATCTTTATGATTTAGAGTTATATTCAAACCCTAACCTCGACTGTTCCGTGAAAAGATTTTTTTAATGTGGTGTGACATTTGTTTTTCTGCGAAACCATCTGCAATGATATACCAATTAGCTAAAGAGCTGCTATAATTAAGAGCAACAGTATCCTCTGTTTTGAAACACCATTGCATGTTGATTGCATCCACCCGTTATAAATAGATTGAGAATGAAGTGAGAGCACGGCCCCTTTCCTCCACTGAACTGGCAGCTTTAAGACTTGTTGTTTTAACAAGAGATGACAATATATTTCATCTAGCAGTATGTTTTGCTGCCCAGGCATTTCATCACCAACCAATCAACCAATCAACCAAAGAGCTTTACCACTTGATCCATTACTGAAAAAAGCCAAACCAATCCTCTGTTAACTTATCTTACTTATCTGAAAACTGGAGCATGGTCGTTTGGTCTTTTTTTGTCCTTGAGAGTTAAGCAATGGTGGATAAGCCAGATATCAGTGATATCTTCTCAAGCTGAATATGATTGAACAAAAGGGAAGAGCCTAATATTCACCCAATAGAGTGTGTACCAGGCTCAGCCTCAAGTAGGCGATGTATGTTGAAGCCATTTAACATAGCTGGTTGCTTAGCGCCAAGCACAAGTGTCGTTCTTGTGTCAAATTGTTGCAACAGAACTATTAAAAGGTAACTTGGTCACATGAGAGAATTTGCACATCAGCAGTTTTTATTAATGGTTCTATTTGACCTCTGCATTTAGCCCATCATGAGCATTATGGGCTGCTGTAATACTAAATCTCATGAAAAATGTTCAGTCTCATGCTCTGAATGGTTGGACAGGGTGCAAGGAATATTAACTATTTTACAGCCAACACTATTAAATCATGTGGAAACTTTAATTCTCAACAAACCAAAGTGCAGTTTCATTAACAGGAGGATGACGCACCTTCCATGGCTTCTCTAATCACCAATACAAAGCATTTAATGTGTATTATGTACTTCGCGTCATTGTTTTTTTGTTATTTTGTCCAGCCATTGTGTTCCAATTTACTCCCGGTGTTTTTTGAGAAGCTCGGTCGCCATTAACCAGTTAAGTTATTTGGATGCCTGGGAAAACAATTTATACATTTTTGGTAGGCTCACAAGTTGCATGAGCCACTAAGATCCTTAAGACCCCAAAGAAACAGTGATTTAGTTTCAGCCTTTATTCCGACAGAACATCACCCATTTTCCATTAATTGATTACAAAGAGGGACCTTGCCAAGTGGCAAGAGTGAACAGTTCTGTATACATGGATATTAGTATACAAACATATTGGGGGATACAATATACTACCAATTGATATTGTAAAACTTACAACTGTTCAGTACTTTCATAAATGATACTTGATTTACCCCACATGGAAAACAAAACATTTCTCTTCAAAAAGTGGTGTAATGCACGGGTGACAATAAACATACACTTCAATATGAAGGTGTTGCCATTCTTCATTATATTGTGGATGGCTTGCTGAGGACTGCAGGCAAGTTTTCTTCCATCAAATCATGTCTGGAGACGTTATCAAGCCGGAGTGTTCATCCTAAATGGCCAATACTTTTTTCCTGTGATATGTGTACAACACACAGCTGGTAAGAATCACTGCACTGACACAAATAAACTGCCACCCAGTGATTTAAACATGTGTGAAGGTGAAATTACATTTCATGTTCTGCAAAACGCAGGTGAATTTATTTCACTATAATAACATCACTAACTTGAGATAAAATACACTTTTGTGTTTTTCTTCTAGAACTCACTACGCATAGCAATCAGCTTAGATAAAAAAAAGTGTTAATATACAAATCATGATGATGAGGACTGTACAGTATACAAGAGTAAATACAGGTTGAAATTACAATCACGCAAAAAAAGATGGATGCATTGTGCAGTTTGTTCTGTGCAATCAGTCTTTGGAAAATGACATTCATACAGTTTTCTTTGAATAGAAGTTAGAATCATAGGTTGAAGTTGTGTATACTTAGAGCCACCATCACCACTCCATGAGGTATTGGAACAGTGTCAAGAGTATACACCCCTTTTACAATGACCAGCAAATAAACGCTGACAGTGGAGTGAGACCAGATTCCAGTGATTTTGTGAGCAACAGTATGGCAGAGAAAGGCGTTCTTACTATCCCTTGTTAACAGGAATCTCTTTGCACAACAAAACTACAATAAGGCTCAGAAAAAAACATCCTGTGATCCCACTGTAAACTACAGCTTTGCATATAGTATAAAACAGAAGAAAAAGAAATACAGCTCAAAGTCACTGACAAACTGAAAGGCACATCTCTCACGAAGGATACGTTTGGCGTTCTTTATCTCCACGCAGTTGTAGAAAACTGCTACATTCAATCATTCATCATGCGAGTAAATTGCAGGTGAAGGGAATGGGCTGATGATAAATGCTGGGAGATCAAGTTCTGCAGTTTTGTTTCTCCCTGCTGCTAGTCACGACAAAACAGTCAATTTTAAATTATTTAAATAGTGTTTGTGCGACCTCTGTCTAAGTGCTTTTGGTTGCCGTTTTCAGATTTTTGATGTTCCTTGCATAGCAAAGCCACCAGCCATGCACTGCGACATAACTCAGCAGTCAGACAGGTTGGGACACTTTAGTCACCAGTACCTGGGTGGTTTACAAACAAAGAGTCTGAAACTTGATGGTGTCTACGGAGCAGTATTTGAGCAATGGAGGTAAACGTTGCTCTGAAAATGCACATGTAACTATGAATCTTCACATCTTAGATATGTTCACAAAACTGTGATACTCTCTCTTTGCACACAGATTCATTTTTCTAAAAAATAAAAATTATATATCTTCAGGAGTGTGGACTGCTGCTAAACAGAAGTGTCTGATAATACGCAGCTAAGAAGTTTGGAAATCAGAAAAGAGCACAGTCTTTCTAAAACAAAATCAAATTGGTGTATAAGCAATTGTTTTATGTGAAGGGAGAATTGATCTAATATTAACAAATACGCAAAGAAGAATCACAGTGAAATAGAGCTTAAGGCAGCAGATCAACTATATAAAGGAAAAGAACAGATCATATTAAAATAAACTGTTAAATATAGAAATGTCTTTCTCAAATGCGCCACAGAAACACGCAGACAGTGCAGGCGTTCGGAGGTTCACACTGAGGGAGGGGTTAGGTGCACCTGCAGTGCAGTACAGCCGTGAGACACGTTTCCTGCTGGTCTAGGTGATGAATGATTTTTCAGTAAAGGAAAAATCAGATGTCTTGATGGTTCCTGTTTTTGGAGAGAGTATGTGAAACATGTCTTTTGTGTTGCCACAGCACAGTTGTCTTTGGGAACTGATTTCAGGTCTGTCAAAAATCAAATCTCAATTTGTCAAAATGTGGAAAAAATGTATTTGTATAAATCTGTACAAATGTAAAAGTCTGTTTTTAGGGAGGGGTATCTAATGGACAAGAGGTTAAAGTTGTATTATTTAGAACATTTAACTTCTGTTTAATCCTTTTTTATCCAAATGCAAAATTATTTTTTAATGGCTTGGCAGATGAACTTTGTGCGCATCCATTTCAGTGATGTATGATGATAATGATATACTGTATATATTCTCTGTAGAAGGCAATGAGGCAACTGATGAAGTAGGGTGCGAGTAGCTCAGATCACACTCCGCTAATGTAAATATTATCGCTACAAATTCACTGTGATACTGCCAATGTCAAGCCTTTGCCATTGTTCCCCCTCTGTGAACGCCTGCTTAGCAGACGATCAAACATGTTCGCCTCCAGCCAGTACACCATCTTCTCTCCCTCCTCGTAAGCCTCTTCAGCAGCTGGTGGTTTCCAGGAGCTGCTTGGCTGCTGAGGCTTCTTCGCTACCAGAATTGGTCTTCTCGTCGGCCACTGCTCTGGCTGTTGGTTTCTCCTTGCGTTTGATCTTGAACACATCCCACCTCTCAGGCAATAGACCCTTGTTGAAAATGATGGACATCAGCCAGGAAACGAGCAGGATAGACAAGAGCGAGGTGACCATGATAGTGGTGCGGAAGGGGAAATACTGGGTTAGCTTTCCCTCGTCATCCATACGGCAGCCAGGGAACTGGATGGCAGGCGGGAGGCCAATGAGGGGCTCGCCGCTCAGTAACCTCAGGATGATTCCCATCAGGTAGCCCAGCGTAGCTCCATAGCCGTTGGACACTTTGAAGAAGACGACGCAGACCAGCTGAGGGAACATGATGGTGTAGGACATGTCCACCCCCACAAGCCAGAAGACCAGGACACTGCTGTCCAGAAAGGTGAGGGCAGTGCCAATCAGACCCACCACCACCACTGAGATACGGATCACCCACTGCATCTCACGGTCTGACGCCTGCAGTAGCGGAGAGAATGACAAGAAGAAACACAAAGAGAGTTAAGTTGCACCTTGTTATAGTAACGATCATTTGGTCTTGAGACCTTCTGGGTGTGGCTGTGTCACAGCGGGTTGTCACTTCACAGTAGATCGGCAGTTCGATCCCCGGCTCCTCCAGTCATTGTGTCGACGTGTCCTCCATTGGTAAGATACTGAACCCCAAATTGCTCCCGAAAGTGTGCCAGCAGTATGTGTGAGTGTGTGAATGGGTATTAGGTTGATTCAAGGTGCTCTTTAAGATTCAACCTGGTTGAATCTTAAAGAGCACCTTGTATGGCATATCTCATACTCTGTGTACATCAGTGTATGAATGTGTGTGCGAATGAGTAAATGTTGGCATGTAGTGTAAAGCGCTTTGAGTGGTCGGAAGACTAGAAAGGCCCTTTATAAATGCAAGTCCATTTACCAAGAGATCCCCTCACAAAGACACAGTACCAAAGTTACAGCACTACAAGAACATTCCTTGGGGGCGTAATAATGAAATCGATTGTTGTAATAGACCAAACATCATACACAAGACTCTGTAAAACAGTGGACATACTACATACTGTACAGACTTTACAGTACAGTTATTATAAAGTCAATAACTTGTGTTGCTGCCTCCAGCTTGTGTTGTGAGTCCAGTATAGTGATACAGTCTCTGCGGAATTCACATGATTTGATGGTTAATCAACCTTTAAATTACATATTCAAATGCATCAAATTAAAGATTTTTAAATCTTGTTCGGTCCGTGACTATGATAGGATCAGATTACAAGGAATAACATTAAGATTTTGTTACACAGTTTGGAGCCTTCAAACTTTAAACCCTCTTTTCTCAACAGTAGTATTCAGTATTTGGTTACAGATATGAACAACGTTTATATTTTTCTCCAAGATTCTCACCTGCTTCCTGAGGATGTTCTTGTATACATTTGAGGAAAACAATGAGGCGGAGGACAGAAGAGCTGAGTCCATGGAAGACATGACAGCAGCAGCTACAGCTCCAATGCCAATGATGGAGATGTAGGGCGGTGTAAGGAACTGCAGGGCGATGGGGAGGATTGAGCCTGCCTGGTTGCGCTCATATGGGGTGGGTAATCCATAACTGGTTGAATTCCAGTCTGGGAGGAAGGATAGATGAATTCTTGGATTGAGATCAAAGTATTGCGTTATATCTAAGAAACAGATCTTAATTCTGTAAAATGATGAAAATAAATGTATAAATTCTGATTCATTTAAATGAAAACGACACCATAATCATCGGGCGGATGACACATGACATTTCATATCTTGCAGAGTGAAAAAAATTCCTGGGAATTAGCATCACAAACAACCTGATATTGTCATCACACATCTCCATCATGAAAGGCTGTATTTCTTAAGGAAACTTAAGATGGCAAAGGTCCAGTGCCAAGTTCTTGTCAACTTTTACACAGGAGCAATAGAATGCATCCTGACTGGACAAACTGGCATGGATGTGCACGGCCCAGGACAGAAGGGCTCTAGAGCGGGTGATTAAAACCGTCTGAAACATCATTGGTACCCATCTCCGAGCATCATTGATATTGGTGACAAGAGGTGCCTGCGAAAAGCCCAAAGGATATTAAAAGACATGACCCACACCAGCCACAGCCTGTTCACCCTGCTGCCATCTGGTAAAAGATACAGAAATATAAGTTGCTTTACCACCAGACTTCAGAGCAGCTTCTTTCCTCTTTTTTTTTTACTTAGCAAAACCCAACTGCAACCGCATTTCGTTGTGTTACCCTGTGTCGTACAATGACAGTAAATTAACCTTGAACCTTGAAAATGAAAGCAGATTTAAGATTATTCCAGGGCTATAAGTGAAGAGTGTGTACCTGTAGAGGCAGCCACAGCCCCCACCAGAATGGAGGGGATACCCAGCACCAGGCAGAAGCCTGAAGAGGCGTAGCAGGTCACTTGAGCCTGGGTGTAAGATGAGGCGGACAGGATTCTTTGGTAGAACGCCTGATAGGCCAAACCACCCAGAGCCTGGCACAAACACAAAGTTCAGACATGAAGACGGGAATCAGTTTGCACAGCAGTGCAGGACAAAAAGGAACAATCCTCTCATGCCTTTGCTTTTGTTGTGCTTGGCGGTTGCCTCATCAAATGAAATAACAAGCCCACTCACCAACAACATGAAGTCATCAAACCACTTGCCGGCCTCATCGAACTCCACTGTGCCGACCCAGGGAGCCTGAAAGGTCTCGTTGTAGGCCGTCAGTGAGATGTCCATAGAGTGAGGGTTGGTCAACAGGAAAGGAACACACACCCACTGTATACACAAACACAAGGATACAATTAATCTGATTTTGGGCTCAGCACTCAGTTTCTGAGTGCTGCAGAGCACACCTATGCCACACAATGATTAACTTTACACAGGTCATACTGATCCAGAACTCCCTCTTTTCAATCATATCACATGCGCTTTATCAGTGGGTGTAATAATGAGCAGATTTCATGGAATTTTAAATGGCATTTCATGGAGCTCATAAAGCTCAACTTTTAAGTCAACACGGACAAGAAGTCTTTAAAGAAATTAATTTGAACATCTACAATTGGGCAAACTGCTGCTGGTAAAGATCATGTGAAGTGATTGAAAGCTCCAGCAGCTAAGCCTTTTTGGGGAGATTATTTTGTCAACTACTATTTCTAACGTTATGAACACATTTCTTAGGCTAAGGAACTGTGTATACAACAAACAGGGGTGTAGCTTTAAAGCCGTTTCTCACCAGTGCGATGTGGAAATGTGGTGCAGGAATGTGGAAAATCTGAGTGCAACTATGCACTCTGGGCCCAGTGTAAATTATCAGCATTGCCATATTCTGTTTTCATGAAATGTAAAAATAAATTGCTATAACGTTATCTTAGTACAGAGCCAGGCTAGCCATTTCCCACAGTCTTTAGTCTTTGGGCTAAGCCAATTGACCAGCAACATTCCTGTATTCAGGTTTAGTGAATGAGGCCCAATGACTTTCCTCCTAAATAGTGTCAGTGTCCACTCCACATAACAAAAAACTATCCAGACAGAGAATGTCAAACAAGATAACGTTAACGTCTCAATACATAAACTAATCAGACCCCAAATTTGATGCTAACGGTAGCTGTTGTGGCCACAGCCATCGAATGAAGGCTGGGACACGCTTGAGCTGTGGGGTATGACACATGTAACTGGAGCTGTTATTGAATAAGCTAATGAAATCAGTACATGCTTTAATTTAGCAGGTAAATTAATCAGTCTTCTTTCATCAACTTGTTACTACAATGTAGTTGAGTGAGTAATAGGGGTACATGCATGATGTTCATCATTCAATAGAAGAATGAAGCTGGAGCTATGAGGTTACCCTCCCCGATTGTTCAAGATGGTGCTGTGTGAACAGGTCAATAGCTAGATGTTACGCACCAGACTGACAAAGATGAGGATGAGCTGGATGACGTCTGTGTAGGCCACAGAGTAGAGCCCCCCGAGCAGTGTGTAGATCATGGCCACCACTGAGGAGATGATGATGGAGTAGATGTAGGGCAGGTCCAGGATCACACTCATAGTTCCACCTGGAGCAACACAACAGAGCGATGAGCATTGGAGGACTGACGGACAAAAAGTCTTACACCAAGTTGTCTAATGTACAGGCGTTGGTTGCTACAGATACATGCAACTGCTTGCTGTGGTAGTTAAATTGCGTGTTTTATTAAGTTCTCAATCTCTTTCTGGCTAAATATTTTCCCTCTCACACAGACACGCATTATACATGCATAAGTATGTACTTATACTAAAGACGCAAGGCAATGCTATTGTCATGTTTTACTTTTCATATCTTAATGCAGTTTTTTTCCCAAAAAACACAAATAAACTTTTAACAACAAAAAGCAAAATATTACATTTGTAGTTATTGAAATCAATAATAAAGCTACTTACGCATGGGAGGCTTTGGTTAAACTTTTGAAAAGCACCCTAGAGCTTAGATAAAGCAACAAGCCAACATAAAACGATACAATTGTCACAAAAACAACTGTACAGAAACACATAACAGTAGCAGCCTATTGATTGTGACTCCAAAATATGCCTTTTCACCCTTTTAGATGAATTATCACCCTAATACTGATAATTCTTAATTAAGTAAACAAAATCAAGCAGAAGGTAAAGAGAAGTGTCTTCAAGTAGTGAAACAAATGTGTAAAACACGTATAAGTAGAGATAAACAAGTGAATAATAAAAGAAGACATCTTGTTACTCAAACAAGGCAAGCAAAACGACACTACCTTCACCAGCTCTTCTCCCACATTGCCAGGGTCTCCCCAGCCGCAGCCTGCAGCCACACACAACAATGCTCTTAAACATAAAAAGTGTCAGATCGGCACCATCGAGCGCGACTTACCACCCTGGTGACCCCTCACCCCCCTAAACCACCCCGTCTTTGCATCATCTTGATGACGCATATTTCACAGTTTTCAGTTTGTCCTTTCACCCCATGATATTTTTTAAATCAAACCTATTTCCCTGAAAGATTTGTCACCATATTATTTATCGGCTACTTTATCATATTAACTAAATTAGTTTGTTGATGTTTCTTTACCCTGCAGACAGACTAACCATCACTTAATATCAATTAAGTAATTGATATTACAACAAGATAGTAACTAGGTACCACAGATATTCACCACCTGTTCATACTTTTTTTTTAGGTAAGCGCTGAATACAGATACATTACATTGAATGACAGTTACCTAATGTTTTTCACTCTTTAAGTCATATTCACAACTTTTATTTTGAACTTGTTCTCATCACAAGTTTTTCTGTGTTGCTTTGCTGTGTTTTGTTTACTTTTGTAATATGTATAAATTGAAATGTGATCAGACTCTACCCACAAGCGGTCAGTTGAGATGCATTCTGATGTTATGTGTAAACTAGAATCCATCTCGACCTGATATGGATATATCTGGATATGCATCCATACTCAACAGGGCACTGTATCCCTATCTGTTCTGTGCTGAGCTGTGCTGTTCCCATCCATGCTAAATTAGAAATTGGATGGGGATGGACAGAGAGAAAGAGCTGCCTAAATACCCCTGTGTTATTTTTAGATCCATGTCCCACCTTCACACTACTCATGCATGTGCGTGCGTGCACAACCACCACAAACATACCATTTGCAGCATTTCTGTTTTGTCCCCGATTCTTTCCCGGAAGAAATTTGACCTTTGTTGATACTGCACACAGCACATGGGAAGTGTGTTTTAAAAGTGAGTTCCTTTCTGGCACTGAACCACCCAAGCCCCCCCCCTCCCACTCTCAAGCAGACCTGAAGCTCGGTTTATACTACACTTATACACACACATAAACAAACAGTCTCCCAGCAACAACTCCCTTGGGTCAAATGCTCAGTGCACTCTCTGGAGTGTCAAGTGTTTATGTGCGTGTGTGCAAAGTGCCCGTCGGGGATGAAAGCATAACTTTCCCAGAAACAACGACAGGAGGTTTTACTGAGGAGTGAGGGGTCCTCTGGTTCTATATTGGTTTAATAGGTTTGGGACATTCCTGCCTCCCAACCAGTCCTTTTGTGGAGTGTGATACAGCATACAGTGCTACCTTGGTGACTCAAACACTGTCAATGGATTTCACTGTTTCCCTTCAAGTTTAAAAAGACTTAAAGAATCATAATGTCAAGTCAGTATGTAACATGTTCCCTCTGTCAATCAGTTAGAGCCCTGGCACAAACAATAGTAAAAAAATTTTGATGACTCTAATGACAAATTATAACAATCTGGTTTGAGTAATTGATCACCTTTCACAATCAACAGGCTGCTCGATGTTTAACCCCCCTTTTCAAAAAACACTGGAAAAGAAAACAGTATTAAAAACACACACAAGAAAACATTACGTATACACATTCACGTTGCAGAGCATCTGCACACTTGTGTGCACTATAAAAGCACAGAAACAAACACGGTTAAATTATCACTTACAGACTAGAGACACAAACAACAGTGCCACTTTTTTTGTCACCTGAACAATTTTCCACACTACACAACAATAATCCCACATAATAATAATCCATGGATGGTGGCTGACCCTGTTTGTGCTTATAATTATGTTTTTATTTTATATCAGGAAGACAGCCGCTCAATTGACCGTTTGCTAATGACCAACAAAAACAACTTCAAGACTCTCAATGATGTTGCTATGGACATTATACGTATCAGAAATTACATGAAGTCGTTGCCAGGTTTCATATTATGGACTACCTTTCGCCGATACTATAAAACCTGACCATATAAGTGATAGCATGATATCAATTAATATTAAGGTTTTACTGAATATCGCGTTTTTGACATTTGATGGTTTCAGATGAAGCTTCAAATGTTTGTCGTCATATTTTATAATGTCATCAACCTATAAAAATGGGGAAAACATTATTTTGTGTTATGGTGGTTATATAAATGTAATTTATGGTGCTGTTAGATTGCTGCTTGTGTTAGACCACCCCTTTAATACAGGTACGATCCATCCAGCAAGCCGGAGAGTAAACTGTTTTTTGACCTCAATGAAAATTATGTTTTAGAATGGCTAAACGCCAAAAAATATAGTTTAAAGCATACTATTTAGTGAGATAAAAAGAAGTGAATTTAAGAAATGATTGGGCTACATTTATCTGTTTTCAATAAATTTGTTTTATGGACTAGCCCTGTGAATGTGAGAGAGAGAGTGAGAGAGAGAGAGAGACTATTGCATGCAATGTTCAAAGATCAACGTTATGATTGAAGCTTTACAGTTTCGAACTACTCAGTACAGCCCTAATTAATATAAGGCCTGTTATTATCTATCTTATTGGCATGCCTGCGTCAGTGAGTAAGTGTGCACCTTTGTGTCTGTCCACAGCTAATCTTGCATCTGCTGCAGCAAACTGCATGATATTTTGTGTGCCCAATTATCTCTGGGTTGGGGTGACTCACACTTACTAAAAACACCTTTTGTTGCCTGTTTGATTGGGCCGCTATTGATAGCACAGCTGAGTGCATTGCTGACCCTGGTGTGTTTGGCTAACAATTAACAGCCAATGCAACTACCAGTGCACACAGTGCTGTACCTCACTGCAACTAACCCACTGCTAACCAGGCAGAAAGCTTGGTGAGTTAAAACGTTTTTTTGGGCAAAATTGTATGACATGTATTATACAATGACTTTGAGGCGATTGTTTTTGCCATTTGTTTTTGAGTTTGAATTCAGTATGTTTGAAGACTGGGTTATATTCATTCCATCAAACAGAAGCAAAACACGAGGACGTAACACATAATAATAAACACATATGCACCATATGATTCAGTCCAGTCATAAATGATGAAAACCAGTGCAATAAAGCTCAGCATTTACACTCATTACAATAACATGCTTCCTTGGCCCCACCAATAGAAAATGCAACCACATTGTAACCTCTTTTACACAGTCTTGCCCACTAAGAGCCCCTCTCCAGTGTGTAGAGTTGAATGTGAGTTTATTCTAGTAAAAACAGTTGGATTGTCTGATCTTGCAAAACTTAAAGTTTTCGGTGGAATGCCTGCATCGTGAATATAATGGTTTGAAAGGGAAAATTTGTTAACTAAAATTCCACATTATCAATTTTTTTGTTTACATTTACATTCCCAGTGTAAAAAGGCCTTTAAAGGCAAGCTGTAGTTTGAGGTGGTAATTTTTATTATTAATTGTCAGGTGTTACTTCTATTCTTTTCACATGCTTTCTTGCAGTAATCCACAGTGCGAAGCCAAAAAAGCACCAACCATCAACATCCAGTCTACTCTGGTGTCTGTGCAAATTGTGTACTCAAACCTGTGGTTGCCTACATGATTGCATAAGTATGTAAGTAATTAAGTAGTATTATATTGCCAGAGAGTTTTACAGAGTGAAGTAACTTACCCAGGCTGACGAGTGTGCGTGCCACCCACAGGACATCAGCCACCAGTGCGGGAAAGATCAGTGCAGTGCTCAGAACGTTCCCATATTTCTGTTGGAAGGGGTCCATCATTGTCACATACTTGTTCTCTCTCATAGGCTTGGCAAAGAAAAACCCACCTGGAGCAGGAGGGAAGGGATTAGCATAGAATGATAATCTCTCTCTTGAAATGATGATCTTTCTATCATTTAAAATCCCAATGAGAGAGAAGGGACAAAGAGGAAGAGGGTCAGCAAGAGAGTGAAAGACAAGAACAATGTTCCCCCCAAATAACACAATAAACACCTTCAGCTGAAGCTGGGTCTACTGGGCCAACAAAGGGAATGTTGTATTTCCTGATCAGGGACATTGGAGTTTCCATTTCATATTACTCTCATACCAGGCAGGCCATTGGGACATTGGGACTGCAGCGCTGATGATTTAGTTTCAAATGCTCACAGACAGCACACTGAGATTGTCGATTCGATGAATTCAGGAGTGGGCAATGTAAGTCTCTGGGGGAACTGTCCCTTTGCACCTGTTGCCTCAAGTTACAATCCTGAGCTGATTTCTCATGGTCCTATTTTTAACGTGAGCGACACATTTATTGGTGCGTGGAGTCAGATGGGAGTTGGGGGCATGGCCGCTACCTTACTGGTCAACAACGCTTCAGCTCGAGACAGAAGTCTGTGAAGTTCAATTTGATGTTTTATCTTGTGAACTGTGTGTAGAAACTTAATTTTAGAGTTTTCCCTGAAATGGCTAAAGTACTCTTTTGATGAATTATGATGAAAACAACAATCTAATACACACTTGTGCTTGTTGTTAAAATATAATTCAAATTGCCTGAGTGTCATACTACATGACTTTCATTTGTGTAAAATAAGGTATGGACTGAATGTCAAATGTTGACAACAACAGTCTTTCTTCTTCCAATACTGAGTCCTGACCTCTCAAAAATAATCTAAATCTTAAGTGAGGCTTTCCAGTGTGTGAATGTTACCAGCCTGTGTGGCAATTTACTGGTGCTTGCAGATGTTCATTTCCGACCCTGCATTCAAGGCGTAGTGACGCCTAGTCACTACGTCGTAGTGACACCTTGTGTAGAAGACTATTTATGTTAGGCTGCATAAAGTTCATGTCTATTTCATCAGCACAGTTGTATCCCTGATTACAATCAGTAAGATAAAGACAGTAGTAATTGTGTGTGTGTGAGTGTATGTGTTCATGGTCAAAGCCTGCGTGTCAGAGGTGCTACTCACCTAAGAAGAAGGTCAGGACATAAGGCACAGGCATGAGAGCCCATACTGCACCTAGTGTTGGGTTGTATGTTGCCTCAGCTATACCGAGGATGAAGCCTCCGCCCACCCACGTAGCTGCAGAGAGACAAACAACTTTTCTTGAGACACACCATCACTATATGTCAGTAACCATTTGCATTTTTCTTTTTAACATAAATAATTATAGTATCTAATGCAATGAACATATCAGAAAGAAAATAATCAGTCTGATTGAATTCCCTCTGACTGCTTTACCTGTAAGAGTAAAGATGCCGACTAGCAAGTTGATGTTGCGTCCGGCCAGAAGCGTTATCTCCATGCCGTCTCCTGAGCATTTCTTTTCCTCCTTCTTGGAACGCATGGACGCCCAGATGCCCGTACCCAAGATCAGCAGGTAGAACCCCGCCATCACCACCAGACCCGGCACATTGAGAGTCATCCTGAACTACTTCTGAATGTGTTTCCTGTAGAGACATGAAAAAGAAAATAAAAAAGACGTGAATTGCTAACAGCTGGTAAAAGAAATATGCAAATGCTGTTTGCAAAGCTTGTGATGTCACTGTGATATACAACTCAAATTGCACCCACAAAATCACATTACAATACATATTCCATTAACTTTTTATAGAGAAAGTATTTGTAGGACTGTAGGGCAAGGGTGTGGGGGAGACAAGTTTGCTTGTCATCTATGATTCTGACAATCAAAAGGTACATTCATCATAAGCAGAAAGCTAAAAAGCGCAAATCATAACCAATAATGAATAGAAGCCAGCAGCTTGTATTTAAACTAATGCACGGAGGAAGTTGAGTAAGGAGTAAAAATAACTTGTGTCTTCTTAAAAATAAAGACAGTAAATAAAGAAAAGGCTACAGTGAAGAAAAAGAAGAAGAAAGGAGCAGTACTATCGCGAATGAGCTCTGCTTGCTTTGCAGATTTGGGGGGGGGGGGGGGGGGAGACAAGGTGTTGAGAAGAGGAGAAGTGGAAGGAGAAAAAAAAAAGAGTCAGAGAGGCGAAAAGAGATCTCACCATAATACTTGCAGCACTGACAAAGATGGCGGACAGATGTTGTCCCCCGTCTTCAGTGGTTGGGCAGCCCGAGTTTCTAACCCAAACATTGTGAAGTGAACACAACACGTTAGTGTGCACACATGTGTGCCTATGTGGGTGCGGTTACTGAAACTGTTAAAATTCGTAAAAAAAAAAAAAAAAAGGATTAAAAGATGAGACGAGCTTTTGGGCTTATAAAAAAAAGCATACTTAACTGTATGCTCAGTTCTTTTCAGCTTGCTAGGATTTTCACAGTCCAGACTACTTTAGTGAGCCCACTCACACTTTGTAACAGCATACAAGATATTTCACAGAGCAGGGAGAGGCCTGGGGTCCCTCTATAGGGATATGCACACCTATTGTCCTACTTTGGAGTTGAACGAAATGTCCCATTATACATTCCCTCCTTCACTAAACACTCACGTACTACTCACACTTTCCTCTCTGTCGTCTTTCTAAGGATCTCATTGCACTCAATGTCACATCACAGTCATGTCTTTATGCATACCTGCAAACTCATAAGAGCTCGGGGGGAATAAAATTAAGTGATAAGATAATATTTACTTTAAACAAAAAAATAATTTATTATTCAGTTATAAAAAGATAAAAAAGATAGCAAGAGTAGCGAGATCCATCGCCTATACAAAATAAAGTGATTAGTTTTCATCAAACCCTGTTACTGTATGGCTTTATATTAACTTCCACTGTTACTGTAAAGCTGTTAGAATTGTGGCCTATCTTCTATTTGCAATTAATATGCATTCAATCCCGTTCAATTATTTAAATTAAAATGATAATCTATTCTGGCTGAGGTAGTTTATCAAGAGTAAAATAATAGCTGTAATCTATACACACCTCTGCATTAGCAACCCGCTGAAATGAAGGGTTGCTAAATATATACATATACATATATACATATACATATATACATATATACATATATATACATATATACATATACATATATATATACATACATATATACATATATATACATATATATACACATATATATA